ACCGGATGTTGAACCATCATGGTTTGAAATTCAACCTGTCATTGTTAGAGATAGTCTGCGACAATTTATGCCATAATATTCGAAACTTAATATTTATAATTTTAGTGATTTCTAATTATAGCCACGTTAGTAATTGCGCATGCGCCGTAGTCAGAACGCAAGGCTTCCACCATTCGCCGGCGAGTTACGTGCAGCCAACGCCTTCTTTAATACATAGAGTAGGTCGTGGTACAGCAAACAAGACTATCTCTATATTTGCCACAATAACCATATTAAACACGATTTCTTTTTTCTGTTTTTTTTTTCAAAAAACCTTTGATTGGGGGGGGGGGGGGGGGGGGCATCAATGATTATCTCGACGTCGGCGCAGACATTGACTGCGACATTAACTTCATTAACCGTGTTAGACACGTGCGATTTCTATTGTTGTGCCGTTTCATTAATATATCTGGAGTATCTGTCTACGAGAAAACAATTGCCTGCGGTTTTGAGTTGTGTTATAATCGGGACACAGTTGTAGGGACACGCATATCTAATAGTTTAGTTCTCTTTTCGGTGCTCCGATTAAGTGGCTGCTTGGTCGAATGGTTAGAACACTGGGTTCACGTGCGGGAGACCATGGTTCAAATCCGCAGTAGTTAAATTTTTTTTTTACCCCGGACAAAAATAATATCCTCATCTGCTCTGTCGTGGTGACAGCACTAGCAAACTAGCAATGTTGCCCTTTATACTAAAAAAAAAAAAAAAAAAAAAAAAGACAAGTAAATGGGTAAACCAATTGATAATTAAATTTGACCATTTCGCATACTTATGATTGCATTTTTTAACTTTCCGATTGCATAGTTGCGCTGAAATTTCATAGCTTTCCATTTATTTTCATTTAGATTTAGTTATTTCATCTGCGTTGGAACTTTAAGCTGTGCTGTTTACCATAGCGTTAATTTCCTAATTATGGTGGTTTTTTCCTGTGTTCATTTGCTTTTCAAGTGTTTTTTTTCTCCCAACTACTTCAATGAGGGAAAGAGTTGTCGGTGAATTTAGGGGGGGGGGGGGGAAACTATTAACTGACAGAGCTTCAAGTCGCAGTAACTGCTTTACCAACTTAAAGTAGCAGCAGCAGTAATAGTTGTGGTTGGGCTGTTACACCATAGTGCTCTCATGTGAAGACCGCCGTTAAGGTTATGGCGTTCTTCTGTCGGCAAGTAAAATTATACATCCTAACCTGACCAGTCTGTGGCAACAGCACTAGCCATGCGGAACCAAATCTTCTGGCTCACGACTCTCTGTCTACTCCGATGGTAACACAGATAGCAGTGACATTATTTTAGCTACTGTGGTGGTGGTCGTGGTAGTAGTTGTACTGGTACTTGAATGATGATGTGGTAAATATTACACTAGCGCCATTCACTACCTATTACAGTTCCTGCTCCCCATTGTAGTCCGGATGGACAGGGATGTCAATGTCAGTTACAGCAACAAAAAAATATCGCCAGGTAATGATTTTCAAATCCTTCCTAGAGGGAGAGAGCAGTAGTCGGTGGAAGAGGGGAGGGGAGGGGGTAATGACTTAAATTTAAGAGAACTTAAAGAGCTTTACACGTGATTTTCAAGTTCTCATTACCTAATTTGTTTATATTTTACTAACGCTACCTCCGCTTTTCTATTTTTTACGACTTACTTTGTTATTAACAAGTACAGTTGTAGCTTTACTTCCGTCCCCTATAAAAATACAAACAGCTTTAGCATGTGATAACCAAATTACCATTTTTGTTACTGTGCTAATAACACCATTTAAACGACCAATAATATAAAGACACAATTATAAGGTGCGTGTTCTAAAGTTGGAGATTGCGACATTAACTATATTAGACACGTGCGATTTCTATTGTCTTTCTTTTCCAAAAACCTTTGATGAGAGAGAAAGAGTAGTAGGTGGATTTAGTTATGGTGGTAATTTGTTTCTCGGTGAGAAATAACAAAATAAGGCTGTGACCAGAAAAACTGAGATGGATGATAGAGGAAAATGTGGTGAAAAAGTTGTTCACATAGGTGCTGGAACCTGGGGACTTAGGCTCGAAGTTTCGGCTGTGGAATAGTAGTAGCAGTGGCAAGATCAGGAGGTACTATGTACTAACAATCCCTTGTCAACCCCGCCCCTTTCCCCCCTTTACACATTTCTACTGTTGAAAACGTTTGCCATTTTGTCACTTCTCTTCAGTGATGACACCCGTGGCAGCCTGCACCCCTCTCTCCCGCACGGCCCTGTCTACGCCACTGAGTAGTAGTAGTACTACTATCAGTTATACCAAATATATTATGTCCATTCCTTCTGTTGTGTTTTGGGATATTGTTTATTGCCTGTCAGACAATGGCTTTTTGGTTGAGAGACTATTCGTTGAATATAAGCTGTGATCACCCGCGCCAATCGGTGATTCATGGTCAGAAAAAAAAAAAAAAGCCAGTCGACGATTTGTGTAAGCAGTCACATTTACCTTCAATTTGGCGTTATTTTAGCTGGGGATTTCCTGCCTGTTGTATTCAGTCTAGGCCTCACCGCGAGCAGCACAAAATAGCTCACCAATGCAGGCAGGATTTTGTTGGTGAACGTGGAAGCGGAATTCCGTGTTTTTATTGAACATCACCTGTTGCAAGACTTCTGCTAGACTTAGTCGCTGCTAGATCAGGCAGGCAGGGGATTTTATTGTTACTTATGTATTCATAAATGCATCTGATTGCAGACTTGGAGCATTTGTCCACAACTTAATGTTTATAGTAAGTTAACTTATATGATACAGAATAATTTTAATAATTTGTAGCGTTGATAATTAATGCAGTATTATTATATATTTTCGCGAGACATGCATTCAATCAAGGCATCTGCGTGCATTTGAGGAAAAAAAGTTATGAATGCACGCATGAGCTTGGAATTGATCGAATGAATTGCTAAAAATGAATATAAACAAAATGTCTTAATAAGAGATTGGTAAAATATGCAAAACATATTTATTTGAAAATGCTAAATCCAAAGCAGCATCATTGGATAGATCTTTAAAAATGTAATCCAATATCTCCTCTTTACCTTTATTTTTAAGACTACGCCCCCTCCACCCTTTGTTACACAGAGATATTAAATGGAATGCACCTTCTTCTCGTTCACCAGCTGTAAACTCCGGCGGAAAGTTCTGGGTCTTCTTCCACCTCCGGACTTTAGTCTTGTTCCAGTACCCGAGTGTTGCTTACACATCTGTTTTACACTTCTGACTTATTTGTATGATGCAGACTCTTGGTTCCTTGCCTCAAGCATATGTACTCTGACTTGAAGGATGTCCACTTCTAGGACAAGCTTTTTGGGCAGACAATGGCTTTATTCTCATTTTAAGAATCAACATCACAACACTTGGGATATTTCCATAAGTGCTCCATTCCCATCTTCAGCAGCAAGATAGTTCTGCTGGTCCCAGCAAGTCTAATTGTACATCCCTCTTCTCTTTTCCTTGAGTGTGGAGAATTGGCCAGATCTCATTGTCACACCCTGCAGCACCATTCTCCTCAGACCTGAATGATCTGTTTGTTCCTCTGAACTGTTCACTCGCTTGTCATACATCAGCTCACCGCCAAGTGGTGCAGAACCATTCAGTTTATCTGTATGTTCATTTCTCGACACACCCGCTTAACACTGATTGGTACACAAGAGTAACACATGGTCGCACCTGGTCCAGTTGTGTGCTACTTAAAGAGTTCAGTCAGGAATTAGTTAAACTAGTCCAATAACCTGTCTAGAACATCATTTATGAACTTTATTAAAACTAAGGGTAACTAACCTGCAGTCTGTGGGTGAGTCTGGTGGCCACAGATAAATGGCTGTTGTTTGGCTTAAACCTCAGGTTCAGTGTCCCCCACCTAAGGAATGGACTGGTGATTCCTTAATGCTTTCAGTCCCAGAAGATCAAAGCTGATGCCTGATCAAATAAAAAATGAAAACAATAAAAGCATAGTAATGCAGTACCTACCGAGTCCCAATACTGAGCACATTGTGTGTGACTTAGTTGTTGAATTTGATTTAGTTTACCTGACTAAACTTGACGTGTACGAATATTCAAAACATGTTGACTGTTGCACATGAATAATATCAAGAACACATGATGCATTGTTTAGGGCTAAAGAGTTAACGTGTCTGCACAAAAGGGCTGTATTGTTGTATGAAATTCATTACAGGGTTATGTTCTATTCGTCAGCACTTTTTATATAATAATATTTAATTGTTTAACATTAACCTGTCATATCTGGTGTACGATGTTAAAGTATGTATATTAATCAGTTAGCACTCATCAATGTTATCATAAAAAGATGTCAAACCAGATGAAAAGTAGAGCCAGTCAGCTTCACAGTATCACACATACCTACGACAGGTGAACGTTGCGGCTAGAAATTATTCATCATCAGATTATAAAAATCTTTAATAACTACCACCAGTATGAACATGAATACACAAATTGACTAAACTGACATATCTCTGACATAAATCATGCTTCTCTGATACTTGTGTGGCCATAACTAAAAAAAATATTAAATAAAACTGTGTTGGATGTCAGGTCCCCTACGCGATTTGGGGAATGTTATCAAGATCATGCTAGATGCCTCAATTTCCCAGGACATTTCTTGGTATACATTTTAGGCTAGGTTGACCTGGGAGCCCTAGTAAAATTATGCATCACCCCCCCCCCCCCACCCCCCAACCTGTGCAGATTTTAACTCATGGGCCAACAGACAAACTGTTACCCACTGCACTGCCACAGCTCTCAACAATGTTTGCTTTAATTTTCATGAAATGGTCCAAGATCCACCATATTATTAAAACTACTATTTGTTTTGTGTGTGCTTGTGCTTGATTTGTATTGTGTTTCAATTCATTATAGTTTCACTTGGAATGGACAGACTGTTTAAAAACAGAAGCCCAACTAAAGTGAATCTTTAATAACTGGGAGTCCAAAGACGGTTTAATGAGCAGTCGAAAAGTTGGATGGATCCATCCGGATGCACAGCTGTCACCAGATGCTGGCATCTGTTATGGTGTCAGGGTAGGTCAGATGTGAGGTTGTCATTGTTGTCAGATATTTCTTGGGGTACAGTTTAAGGTTGGTATATTTATCATGCAAATACGGAAGTGAAAGCACATCACTCTACGGTTTGGGTATGAGAAGTTTAGGTCCCTCTTTGAGGCACAGTGTTGACTTTTGTCTAATATATAAATATAATGTGCTGTATTTCTTACCAGAATTATCATTCTCTCTGAGGACCGATTGCCACTTAAGTGGCTCCTGAATCCAACACGTTTGGATGGATCACCACTTAAATGGCTCCACGCATAGACACTCTAATATTGTTTTGTTAGCTGGGAAAAGACATTTGTGTGAACATGTTTTGAAAAACTATATTTAGCAAAATGGAGTCATTTTGTTTTGGAAGTTTGTGTGGTGTTTAGATACTTTTTGATTTGTTTTAAATTATTTAGATGTGATACAAGTTTTACATGATTTTTGTATACCAAATGATAAGGGAAAAGGTCTAGAACTGTTCATACTGCTCTGTCGTTGATGAATCTCAGCCAGATAGTGACAATAGTCTTGATATTATGACTGATAATGCAAGTGACAACTTTTTGGCGATAATATAGATTAGGATGACGGTGAACAAAATATTTCAACCGAATCATCTCTGTTTCGATCAGCTGTTTTCCCAATTTTGATTGTTGTGAAATTTGACATGTCATACATACAAAAATATTCATAACATCCTAAGCATTTACATTAATTGTTTCGAATAAAGACTAGCCAATACATAATTTAACAGAGAAGGCATGTGAATTCTTAGAATTGGATAGCAGTCTTGTTCAACAAGTAAAAAATAATGTAAGCGCAAAATTTTTTGTGTAAATAATCTTCATATGTGTCTAACATCCTTGAATGTTGTGTGCTTTTAATAATATTTTGTTGTCATACTGACAGTTATATAGCTTAGATTTATTCTGCACTCATTGCTCTTTAGTTTGGTATATTATATGTCTCTATACAGCCGATACTTTTTTCTTCAGGAAGGTTTTAGCTTTCTCATGTTGCAGTAAAAAAAAATTCCCCTCAAAATTAATGCTGTCCAAACCTGAGAAAAAATGTCATCCAGAAAGAGTTGAATCCTATTTCAGTAGTTCTCCTCATAATTTAGCATACATCACTAGTAGTATAATGTATAACTGAATATTTTGAAACCTCTAAAGTACAGGAGAGTATGAGAAATGCTAAATAATCTCAGTTTGATGAACGAATAACCTCAGTTGTGTCTCCTAGTTGTGTAGAAGAATGCATATAAGTGTAAGAAACAGTTCAGTGGACTGAATGTCCACTTGATTAATCCTGTGGTCCTGTGCATTCAGCCATACTGGGACTAGAAGACTTGGTGCAAAACAAAGCCATGCGCACTGTTCTGGTGTGCAGTGGGATACCTTCTTGACTTCTCTACCATGAACTACAGGATTGAGATTTGGAGGGTCCGCGCATACCTGATAAGCTCTAATCTGAAGCACTCTTTGCACCACATGCTCTTCAGGAAAGACTAAAAAAGGGCAAATCATGGGTGGGTAGGGCAGAGATTATATCAAGCAGGTCTGCAGTCTCACAGACATCCACCCAGAGGAGGAATGGATACCAGTGCCACAGTGCTCAATCGCACCTTCTCCTGTGTCATCACACTTGATCGGAGTTGTCTGAAGCAGAATCCCGCTGCTGTCAACGCAGAGGTCTACGTGCAGCTGAGATCTAACCCAGCACCTCGAAGATTATAACAGTGCATTTCTTTTTAGTGAAATTTTGAAAAGGATCATTTTAAAAGCTTTTTACCTGGTGAAAAAACTAAGTAAACAACTCTTGAAACCTAATTTTGAAAAGGATCATTTTAAAAGCTTTTTACCTGGTGAAAAAACTAAGTAAACAACTCTTGAAACCTGGGCAGAGCAGGACACTTCCCTATCTAGAAAGTAAAAATTACTGTCAAAGGTAAAGATCATAAAAAAAAAAAATTGGGAAATAGAAGGAAAGGGAAAAATACTGATCTTCCCAAAAATAAATTGTGTAATTATATGACAAATCGGGAGTTGAGGTGACTTATGTTCTTTGTGTGGATAATCTTACATGCATGACATGTGTTTAACTGAGTAACATTTTGTAGTGACATTGATTGTGTTGTTTTCTTTAGTATGTAGGCTGCTTAGAAATCAAGGAATCCATGAAGGCATTAGATTTTGAAACAAGAACAGCTGTTGCCAGGTGAGTAAACATACAAGTACTGTTTATGTTTGTTTTTTAAAAGGCAAAGGTGAATCATTTGGTAGATACTGCTATAGGGTGGTGAAGTGTTAGTCTTTGGAAATATAAGGTTTCAGCATAAAGAGGTGCAGTGATCATTTCCATTTGATGCCCATCTCACTTTCTCAGATTGTTTCCAGAGATTGAAGGCTAGGTTTACTCTAGAGCCACACAAGTCAGAACCAAAAACCTACTGCAGGTTTGAACTTGGACCTGTGCCTTAGTAAGAATGTACTAGCCACTATACATACACTATGACTCAGTTGTTTTTAACAGTGAAAGTTTTTCATCTTTAATATAACAAACATTTTTAATGGAATAATTTAGTATTTCTTTATCAGATGTTCAACATTTTGATAATTTTATGTACTTCTGTCTGCAGGGGTTATTTCACCATCTCCTAACTTATTTCTTCTTCTTTTTTCTACTTCTTCTGTACTCCTGTTCTGCCTTTCAGTGTCAGGTTTTAAAGAGGCATCAGGTGCAAGCCTAGGTCTGTGCTATATAGATGCCTATATTTACAGCCTCGGATATTCCATCTATCCATCGCTCACCTGGCCAACCTCAGACTCTGCTTCTATTGTGACAGGACTCTCTCTGTAGTGCATTTAGTACATTCTTTGGACACATCATGACACGCCTTTACAACAGGAGAATTGAAGCGAAGGGGGCAGACCAAGAGTGCAGATGGTGGATGGTTAGCATCATGTCATGGAGAAACATCTGTGTAAGAAATTATTGAAAGTGCATGAGACAGGAGGCTGTGGACAATCATAACAACCAACACCACAGGTCATTGACTATGAGAAGTACAGAACAAAAATATCAGAGACTTTGGCTTCTGAGCACATCAGCACTTGAACTTGAATTGTTTCAGTACCAGGCAGATATTATTTAGCTGATGCTACCCTAAAAAGTGGGAGCTGCCATGGTGTAGTAGCTAGATATTTGCCTGCCGATCTGTAGGTCATGGGTTCAAATCCAAATTGAGCCTGACTTTTAAAAAAAAATGACCTTGGCACCTAGGTCGACCAAGCCTTAAATGGGTACCAGGTAAAGTCCAGGGAAGTAAAGATGACCGGTTTGAGGTTAACCACATCTCGCATTGGGTGTCAATTGGTCTATAAAATATAGGTTTAGCACTATATGTCAAACACGCCTGAATGTGCGGAAAAATGTCCTTTACTTTTTACCCTGGAAAGTATTCACTTTAATAAATATTTGAGTCAGAATAATTTAGCATAGCAACAGTGTGCAAATGAAGGAGCAGAAGTAACAGTTGGGGCAGATAGGTTACTGTAACAACTGCATGTGCCATAAGGAGTTTAGGCAAATGTTTAATGTAAATAGAAACCAACACATGCATGTTCTTGAATGATCTTGCCCAAAAGGTGCAAATGTCGCAGCTATACTGTAAACGGATACAGTACAGTTACGTCCTTGAATGAAGAAAGAAGAAGAAAAAGTGTAAGTTTAATGACATTGAGACTGCTGATAATATAAGATATGGTACTGGGAAAAGAAGATAAGACAAGCCCTTGCTGACAGTAGACATCACATGTGTTTTGGCAGATTCAGGGCTTGTTTGGACAGCTTACTATCGACTTGCAAATGGAGACAGTTTTCTGTACTGAGTATACTGCATAATGATGTAATCTAGTATGGAAAGTTGTAATAAAATATGTTACTGAAGCTATAGTAGTAATTTTAACATTGTTAAGGAAAGGTAATCTTTTAAAAGATACTGCTGATGATTTATAAATTGCTGAGGCTGCACACATTCTTTATTACAGCAGTGGTGTGGCTAGTTCTCTGTTATGTCATTCCTTCCCAGACATTTCACAGAAAAGTCTGAACATTATCCAGTACCAGTTGTTTGAAGCTCAAATGTCCTTGAGAAGAAAGTTAAACTTGCTATCACTGGCAGACCACCCTCTTCATAAGCAAAAAAAAAAAAAAAATGCTTTCAGATTTATTTATCACACATTAAATAGGCATTTACTAAAACCGGCGGAGGCTGCCATGAAATAAAAATTAACAATTACATTTTTTGCAGACAAAAGGATTATGGGGTAAATTTGAAATTGCCTTAGTAAACACAAGGCTAATCTTGAATTTCCATTGGTAATTTGTTATGTAAATAGAAAAATTGCAGTTTTTGTAATTTATTAGAAAGGATTCATGTTTTTTGCATCATTATATGTTTATGTAACTCTGCTGCATTGCACCTGAAAAGATACCGTGAAATGTGGCAGGCAGTAAATTGTGTAGTGTATTATTATTGTCCGTATTGTTAAATTAAAATTTACAATGGGAAAACATTTTTTTTTCAAACACATTAACTATAGTGCTACAGAATTAACTGTGTAGGAGTTAAAATGTAATGTTCAGATAAGAAGCTAGTAACTGTGGGTATACTGTGCATTTTTGGATGCCAACATTAAAACATGTATATTTATTAAAAGTTTTTGTCTGCTGCCAGGCAGGGTACGTCTGTTTAAATAAAGGCAATTTTAGTAAAACCATACACAAAGTAGCAGAAGGCAAAGGGAAATCACCACTGTGTTTTACTAGTAAATCATGCGTTTAAAACAAATTGTATTTAGACAGTGACATTAATGGGGGTTCAAATGGTTGTCATGGCATTGAGGGTTGTCAGCTCATAAACTGATAGATGGTGTTGAAGATCAGAGATTGTAGAGGGGTATGATCCCATCACCAGTTGGCAGTTGAGGTCTCCTTAGTGAAGTGGTCAAGCGGTTTGCCTCATGCTGTGAAGGTTGTGGGTTTGATTCACGGCTGCGCCATTCAGTTTATGAGTGCAGTTTTTATGGAGATCCTCAGTGATCATCGTTGGAGCTACAGAGTTTGTGCACTGTGTGGCGCTCTTGGTAGGCGGCTAGCGGTTCTGCAGAGAGAGGCTGAGCCATATGGAATAAAACCTGGTGCTATGAAGTCGATCCTTTCTATGTTAACCTTTAACTTTAGCCAATTGGCAAGGCACTTGATGATAATGATAAAGTAGTTGGTATACCTGTCTACAATGACAGTGGACTGGTTTTAATTTCCAGCAGAGGCAGGATTTTGTTGTTGTGAATACTAAATATCTATCATGGACTCAGGTGCATGAAAATGGAATCCAAGCTTATTTCTGGGAAGGAAAAGTGTTGAGGATGAGAACTGACCATTCAGGCCAGATATTTTGGCAAAGAAAATATGAAGGCCTGACAGTTCACACCCCAGCATCCCCATGTGATTCTTGGGTCCCATTTTGAGGGGGGAAAGTATAGACCCCTTGTTCTCTAACAAGCATGTTTAATGGCAAAGTGCTAGATTCCTTGAAGCTACCACTATTCATTACCTCCATCCAGAAGTAAGTAAACAGAAAGACATGGTCATGAATCTGCTCTTGCCCTGATAAAACAGACAGTTGTTTTAGAGAGTGGTTGAAATTGTACTTCATTTGTAAAGGATTCACTTATTTACTTCATTTGATTGAATTGTTACTGTAGTGTGTACCTGATGAAATAAGTAAAATATGCCAGGCAGAAATTTGTGCAATCTGTTGTTCATTTCTTTGTTCAAATTATAACAAAGAAGCCTTGTTTTAATTAGGAGTTTGCTGACATCAGTATCAGTATCAGTGCAGATATTGCAGCCTAGCTGTAAACCACACCACGTCCCAATCGCTCTTTTAAGGGCGAACACAGAAGAAGAACACCCCCAAATATTTTGAGACTGTCTCTTCTTGTACTCAATAGGGAGTCCATAAGCAGAGTTGCAGAGGCAGCAGGCTTGAAAAATGCATCCAAGAAAAAGAAGGTAATATGTGAATCTTATATTCACTTTATTTTAAACTGGTAATATTATGAAAAGATACATAGTTTTGTTTTTACTATTGTACACATTATTTCAAAGAACAACAATTTAACCTCTTAAAGATACTTTAGTTAGTGTGTAAAGTGCTAGGCTTTGACATATTTTAGATCACGACAGTAGATTAACTTTATTTTTAAACTGGTAATATAATGAAAAGCAGCATCCTTTTATTGGCCCAGAAAATAAGGGTAAGGTTATATTACGTACAGTTACTTTACAGACTTAAACATTTTGTGTAAATTTTCTCAAATTTCTGTGGTGTGCAGATGCTGTTTTGTTGAGTCTTAAGAGAAAAGAGAAGTAAGTGCAAATGACGTGTAAGCCTTTAGAAAAGCCATCCTTAGTCTCAGTTCTCAGTTCTGATGGGATTAATCTAAAAAAAAAAAAAACTTTTTTTTTTAAAATTTCTTTCTTTTTCATATTTAAAATGTCCTTTTTCTCCATGTCTTTCATCATGACTAGCTCATACCATTCTTGTTTTGCTGTTTATGATGACATCTACATTATGAAAGTCTGTGCTTCTTGCATGTACATAGGCAAAACAATTATTGGTACACAGAAGAATAAATACTGACTGAATTTTCAGATTGATCGTAATCTAGGAAGCATGTTGGGTGATGCTCCACACATGCAGTACACTGGTTCTAATGTAAATCTGACAATCACAACTGAATCTATCAACTTGATGATAATGGAGACTGGAGAGGTAAGCTTGTAGGTGCTTTTGTTGCCTGTTGCTTTGTTTGTTTGGCTAGCATAATATTCTGTTCTGTTTCCTCAAAATGCCTCTTTAGCAATTGATAAATAAATGAGCATGAAGTGTGACTTAAGGGTGCAATAAAATTAGAAAACATAAAAAAAAAAAAAATTATAATAGTTTCATGGTACCAGCAGTATTTTGTTCTGATAGTAAATAAACTATAAATTTTTCCCAAAGTAGGTAGTATCTGAGAAAGTAAAATTAGTCATTGTAAACAGAACATTGAGATTCATTAAAGGAGTGGGGATCTGCAAGAAATGTGTAACTCATTTTGGAGGAAAGCAACCAGGAAGTGTGATATGATTATGTTAATTTTGAAGTAGTATTTATACGTCACATAAGGCTTGGATTCAATTCCTCCACTCCGTTCTGTTGCATGCAATTTTCTTGATTTCTGACATGGATTTCAGCCCAGCATTTTTTGCCTTTTGTAATAATGTTCTTCTTAATGTTTCCCTTGGACGTCCTCTTTTCTCTCAGACCATTTGTTTTCCATTTTATTGCCTGTTTTTTTTTAAAACTCTTTGCTCATTTTGTCCCAGAGTGTGCCCAGTATATCTACACTTTCTATGTCTTATTGCAGTCATAATATTGTGCCAGAAATGCCAGGATTTTCGGACACGCCCAAGATAAGTGCCAGAATGAACCTCGCTGTAGATTCTGTAGCAAGAACCACTGGTTCCGTGAGTGCCAAAAAGCTCAGGCAGACAGAAATTACAAGGAGAACAACCCAAAGAGGAAATGCGGCGGAAACCACAGTGCCAGGTACAGAGGATGCCCAGAGCTTAAAGAAAACCCAGCCGGCCTTGAGGGAATCCAAGCTAGCCAATATTCAGATGAAAGTGGCTAGGTGGTACCAGGCCAAATCCAGTAACCTACCTCAAACGCTGTCCGATACTAGAATTCTATAACCTGGATTGACAGGCCATGCAGCAACAGCAGCCAGTCAGAAAGCTGTCAAAGAAATTGCAATTAAGGGCCAATCTGCCTTTGATCCTACCATTATAGAAATAATAAAAACAATAGAGGAAGTGAGGAAACAAATTACCACAGAAAGAACAGAGCGAATTAAAGTGGAGAAACTGGCAGAGGAGAGAGCAGTCCAAATCCATGCAATTGTTCACTAAATCAAAGGTGCTAACACGTAAAACACAGAGAAAAAAAAAATGAGATGAAAAGACTCAGGGACAACATACATCTAAGGCATAAAAAAATCAACTCTAGAAAAGGGAATTCGACAAATGTATTGAAAAACCACAAAAGAAATAGACAAATTGGGAAAAGAATCATTGGAGACTCACGCCAACTCCTTTCTCCTGCAAACTGGGGAAGATATAATTTTTAAAAAGTGAAAAATCTCCTTCCCCCAACCAATGACACTACTGAAGAAGAAGACACCGACACCAGCCTGGCAGAGAGCGTAACTATAGTGACAGCCAACTGGAATCCTATGCAGAATAAGACTATAAAACGGAAGCACAAACCTGAGAAGGAAGTCAGATTAATAATAGAAAACATGATCCAAACTAAAAGCAACAGCACAGCATTCAATATGAAAATGAATAGAAACAGCATCACAGTAATACAATAGAACTCTAACGGCATTAGAAAAAATTTCCCCAACTTTTTTAAGCGAAGGGGAGACAACTATCTATGCATTACAGGAAAAATGCCTAAGATCAAAAGATAAGTTCTCATGTCCTGGCTTCGCAGTGTATAGGAACAACAGATCGACGGGAAGGGGGGGGGGGGTCCCGGTTCTGTTCAGCAACCAGCTCATAGTTATCAAACGTGCAGGCTTGAATACCAAAAACTGTGAAGGGGTGCTGATCAGGGTTGCCAACCGCCTCCGAGATCTGACGATCATTATATGTACTGCTCGACCGGTAAACTTGAGAAAGATTACCTGAAAGAGATCAAAAGTAGGATAGAAGATCACACACTGCTAGTTGGAGACCTGAATGTGCACCATCCTACATGAGGTGAATTAGTAACCGACCACGATGGTAAAATATTAAATAATTTCTAACTTTGTCTTGGATGAATAAGTTGGCAGATTTTTTCAGGCATCTCATTTCACACGTGGTAATTTTTTTGTAGATTAGCTTTTAAGTCTGGCACTGCTAGCACAGTGTTGGTATGAACATGCTGTTTATAATCTGTTTCTTGGCGCTCATACTTATGTTTGGATGTCTTGAAAACATTGTCGGTTGGTATTTAAGCTCACTGGCTTGTTGGCATCTTGTCTCTGTTTCCCGATCTATTCTTCCATCCTCTGAGGATATACTTTCTAGATATTTAAATTCTTTAACTTGCTTTAAACAAGTACCATTCAACCCAAAATGTAGCGGACCAGGAATTCTGCTGACCTGCATTACTTCAGTTTTAGTTGTATTTATTTTCATGGTATATCTTCTGCTTGTTGAACTTAGCCTGTTCACATGGTCCTGCAGCCTACTCCCCTTACGACATCTCCCTTTGTTAATCACATATATTGATAAATAAAACATTTTCACTCTCTTGTTGCAGATAATAGCAAACCATCCTTTGCATGTTGTCTCCTTTGCATCAGGGGGCGATGTGGTAAGTCTTATGCCATTTTTTAAAGTTATGTATGCTTTTTGTGTTATAATTATAAAACTTAAGGTTGTAATTGCGGTACTGCTTATTTAAGACTCCAATGAATAAATCCAGGATAGATTGATAACCTCAAGGGTATACTTGACAAGCAAGGGTAGTCACAAATAAAGCAGACAAAATCTCTTCTTGGAACATAAACTGAGGCTTCTTTAAAAAAAAAACTTGTTATGTCAGAGAGGCATATTTTTATGCTCAGTCGACAGTGGAGTCCAGGTCAGTTATTAAAAGAAATATCTGCTTCTGTGTTGATTCAAACCCAAGATCTTTGGGTTGACAAGCAGGCAAATAGCCTTTGTGCTGCTGCAGCATCCTGAAACTGTCCTTACCCTGACACTTAGCAGTTTAGCATGGATTAGGAAAAGTAACAGCATCAGCTTTGTACAAGATAATACATTGATTGTCTTCTTCTTCTTCTTCAGCTTTCCGAGTTCTTCCGATATGACCTGCCTCCATTCATCCTTTGTTATTGGCTCTGTCTTTCCTTTTGATGACTCCAAGTGTTTGTTGGTGAGCTTGAATTGTACTTCTCCACCGTCTTCTTGGTCTACCATGTGGTTTACAGCCATTCAATTCCCTTGTGTACACATTGTTTTGTTTCTCTGTCATCTGCCATTCTCTCTGTATGCTCCAGCCATTTCAGTTTATTGATACTTATGATGCCAGAGATCAGTGGTGGTTTAAATATATTATGAATTTCATTGTTGCTTCTCACTATCCATTCCTCGCTGTTTGCAACTATGATTGTGTCGAAACATTTATCATAGAACTGTTTTCAAAAATTGTAAATATTTGTTAATAATACATTGATTGAGCAATATCAAATAACATGGATAATGTTGGCTAAGAGAGGAAAAGGTGGTCCCGATCAGATACTGCCATTTTGGTGTGAAGTGGTAAACCTTCACATACTATAGGTTTTGATATATAAAGTAGAAAGATCAGTTCCCTTGCTCATCATCTTTCTTTCTCAGACAGTTCGCAGAGAATTGTTTGGTATCCAATTAAAAAAAATAATGGGTCATTGCTAGAACTGTACTCATCACACAGATAATCCTGTCTCTGCTAGAACTTGAACCCTGACCATTGTCTTGGCATCAGAATGTAATCTACTACAGCTTCTCTGATATAAAGCAAATTTTAAATTTTTTTGCCACAGGAACACACACACACACACACAAAGTTATACTTCATTAGAATTCCAGAACAAAATCTTTAAAAACAAAAATAATGTTCACTAATAAGTACTTTAAAAATGTAGTTATCTATATTTTAAGATTATTTTTTGAAATATGAAAAGATATTTGAAAGAAGTAATCAAAGCAATCAGTGAACACGAACAGGGTAAAGCATTACATCAGACACATTCCCTCGGGTTAAAAACAAAAACAATAATCAGCTGATTCATGTTGTGACCCCGTGACCTCTGTCACTGAGGCTTACAAGAAAATCTAACATCAGCGTGGCTTTATAATTATAAACCCCTCTAAATGCTATTCCTTGTTATTATATTTATCTCCTGACCTCCTAAATATTTTAACAAGAGTTGAACTCAGCCAGTAGCATTAACTGTGCATCTCATTTAATAATTAAAAAAAAAAATGAAAAGAAAAAAAAACCATTTACTGGGATTTCTGACCCAGCCTGAAGTGTTGATTTTTCAACTTTTCTGGGTGAAAGGTTGAAACAAGCTGACCTTTTTTCTTTTATAAGTCCTAATTTATTGGTATGTTTGCATTACAGGAGACTGTTGACTTTGTATCATATGTTGCCAAAGACCCTGAATATGGTCGTGCTTGCCATGTGCTGGAGTGTGGTGGTGGCTTGGCAGAAGATGTAGTTTCAACCATAGGGCAGGCATTTGAGCTTCGCTTTAAACAGTATTTGAAGAAACAACCCAAAGCAGTGGAATTGCCTGATAGGTGAGCTCCTTATGTCTTGAGATAGGAAATCAGAGATATTCTAGATCACAAATTTCCTACTGTGCTTACAGTAATTGCTTTCCTACACTTACTTGGTCACATTTTTTTTTTACTGTGATAGAAGTCTTTTAGGCCAAATGGCACACATTTTGAAATGCAGGCATGTGAGTATAAACAGTATAAGAACACCCTTCAGCACAGTATTCTTACCAACGCTATGCTACCAGTGTCAAACATGGACATTATCTTTAGAAGACAGAAGGAATATAGTCACGACAGAAATAGAATATTTACCTACTATGCTGGGTTGATTGATTTGATTTGATTTGATTCAAGAACCGACATCACAGCACTCGGGGCATTCCCATAAGCGCTCTGTCCCCATCTTCAGCAGCCAGCGAAGAGTTCCGATACTAATGGTGCCAGTAGCATTCTGATTAAATGTCCGTCTTGCCTTTCCTCTGAGCCTCGAGCATCTGCCAGAACTACTAAACTACTATGCTGGGTGTAACGAGGAAAGATTGACTTAGGAACAATAATATCAGGAGGAGAGTCAGCACAGAACGAATACTGAACATTATAGATAGACAAAAAATCAAATGGTTTGGCCATGTAGCAAGATTTGGCATCAGACAGGGCACCACAGACAGCAATGTTTTTAAGATACAACGGTAACAGAGCCGGAGGTCGTATATGAAGCACACAGAAAAGTGGCTTTCAGAGATCTCTCTGGCGAAATGAGGCATTCCAGGAGTAGAGAAATGAAGAAGAAGAAGAATGGTCTTTGCTGTTACTTTCATTACTAGGTCAGAAATATTTTTTTTAAATATAAAATGCTATAACAGTTATTTTTTTGCTGTTACTTCAATAATATTGAAAGCAAAGGGCCCTTTTCATGTGGTTAATGCATTTTGAATTTGATTATAGACCTATATTTTCATAACCTAGCACCTTTACTTCCCAGGACATATTACCATTACTAAGCAAAACTAATTGTTCCGTCTCCTCAGTGTAGGATGTCTATAGTGTATGCACTGCTAACTGTGGGAATATTACATGACGAAGCCGCAGTTTCTTCCATGGTGTGATTAGTACATCACCATTACTAGGTCATAAATTAATTTACTCATGTGCTGCAGTATGCAGTAGTTTTAGTTGTTACTAACCACTAACATGTCAGAAACTAATTTTGTGATGTGCTACAATGGGTTGGCTGTTACTATCACTGCTTCATCAGAAACTAGTTCCTCATGTGCTACAATAGTTTACTGTGCTGTTTACTGCCTTCCGCACCACCTACCCTGTTACAGTTTGTACATAACAGCCCAGGTGATACTGTTGTTAATGGACCTCCATGATGATCATCATCGAGCACAACATGTTCTATTTTCTCTCTTCTCATAATATGACCAAAAAATGATGATAGTCTCCTTCTGATATTTGTGGTAAGTTGTCTTTGAGCACCATGATACCATCCATATTACACTGTTTTTGGAAGCATTGACTGTTGGCAATAATTAGTGTTTTAGAACAGATGATAGTTAATTTGGGAGCTAAGCTAGCTTTAGTGGTTAGATGCTCGCATGCCAACCAGAAGGTCTTGGGTTCAAATCTACATCAAGTCGGATTAAACAAAATTAATTTGTTTCCAGTCAGCACAGCCTAAATTGGGTACCAATTAAAGTCCTGGGAAATAAAGGTACCAGGTTGATGTGTTTACTACAGAACCTATAGAATGCTGACTGGTTTAGAAAAATGTAAGACTAGCATAATATTGCCCACTGTTTGACTTGTATGAAACAGGTCTTCCACTTACTCATTGATAGTTAATTAATGTCATGATTAGAATTATTTTAAAAGAAATAAATGATGGTTAAGTTATGCTGCGAGTAGATTTACTTTTGCTGTTGTCAGACCCCTTAAAATATTTCTTACTCTGTGAGTTCTTATTAGATGATGATCTACCACCCAAAAAATATCCAAACAGAATAGATCTACCACCAAAACATATCCAAACAGAATAGATCTACCACCAAGACAAATCCAAACAGAATAGATCTACCACCAAAACATATCCAAACAGAATAGATCTACCACCAAAACATATCCAAACAGAATATATCTACCACCAAGACAAATCCAAACAGAATACCAGGGCACACTTTTGTTATAAATTTGTACATTTAATTGTAAACTTGGGACATACTTGTGCTAGAAATGTTTGTAAGTAAAGTAAAGTGTTTACACTGCTGGTGCATCATGGTATGTTTAACTGAGAATCAAAATCACAGCATTCAAGACATTCCCATAAGAACTCCGTCCTCATGTTTTAGCAGCAAACGCAGACACCCCCTTCTGATGGTACCAGTCTGATTGTATTTCCATCTTGACTTTCCCTTGGGTGCATTGGGTATATGATGCTAGTAATATTGTTATAGATCAATTTGCACTTGCACTTGTTGGTTGATGGGATTGGTATCATGCCAGAAACAGTTGTGTAGTACTGTAATGGTCCGTAACTGGTACAAAAATATTAGATCTAACTACAAAATGTTTACTTTCTGTTGTAGTGTTTGTGGTAATGGTAAATGTATAACTTTATTACTGTTAAAAAAAAAACAACAGAACAGACAAGCCAGGGTTTGAAGATGAGTGCTGGGGAAACAAGGAAGACTATTACAATGATAATCCTGATGCTGTCCCTCCTGAATTTGGTTTACCTGCTGCAGAGAAGGCTCCAGAAATACCTCCACTTCCTCAGTATAACCCACCGAATAAGGTAAGAAAGCGCAGCAACATTAGATACATCTGTCATTTGACTGAAGAAACGGCTGTAATATTAGACTTTTTTATGCTTGTCTTTCTGGATGATAGCATTATACTGTGCTATGTGATACAATTTAACTGCTATATGATAGCATTATACTGTGTTATATGATAGCATTATACTGTGCTATATGATAGCATTATACTGTACTATATGAAATCATTATATTGTGCTGTATGATAGCATTATACTGTGCTATATGATAACATTATACTGTGCTATAAGATCGCATTATACTGTGCTATATGATAACATTATACTGTGCTATATGATAGCATTATACTGTGCAATAGGGAGGCATGGAAATCGTGTCATGGTATGGCCACTGCCATAGCACAAGGCCTTGGCAGTATTGTATAGACCATGTGTTGCCCTTGCAACGATATCTCTCTCTGCCTGCCATGTTTACTCCAAAGGAAAGGTAAACATACTAATACGTCTGGAACAAAGCATGCTGCAGAAGATGCCAGTAACCTCTCTGTCTGTCAGTATTAGACTTTGAGCAGTTTTTAAACCATCATTCTCTCTGGACATTGAGTTGCAGTCTGTCGACAATGGAAAACATAAAACTCATAAAATAATCACCACAAAAGAGGGTCTAAAGTTCTATGTACTGTGCTATGACTTAGTGCATCCAGATTTGCCTATCCATAGATGTGAAGATCCAGTACCAGTCATGCACTTGTACATCCCCTTGTTTCTCCGCTTGAAGAGGATAGGAAAAGCTTTCAGATAATCCCTGTGAAGATAGAACGTTGGTACGGGGAAGAGAGAACTAAACAAATTCTATTAAATCAAGAGGTGACAGAAAGACACTGGCATTGGATAGGACACATGTTGATGAGAACAATATAATTAGAATGTCTATACCTGGAACCCACAGGGGCATAGAAAAAAAAGGCAGGCTAAAACAAAACAAAAAAGCGTGGAGAAGGGAGCTAGAGAGTGCAGTTAAAAAGATGGGGAGGACCTGCAGTCAGCTGTATGCAATATCAAAGGATAGGATGAATTAGCATAAGTTGGTTGAGGGCCTGTGCACCATGGGGGTAAAGGGCAGAAGTCAAGCACTAAGAATGTCATCATCATCCTATTTTGCCATTATATGTCACATAGGGTTCACAGTCTATTCTTCCATTCCAGTCTATCCTATGCAATACATTTGATATCATGGATGGAATCTACTCCGGCATCTTTGGCCTCTCTCATCAACATCAGTTTTCGGTTTTATTTTGGACATCCTCACTTTATAAATCCATTTGTTTCCGATTTAAATATCTGGTTATTCTTTGCTCGCTTTTTCTCAAGATGTCCAAAACAACACCATCTACTTGGCCTTATAACTGGTGATATCAGTTGTTGTCCTGACATTTCTTTTATTTCTTCGTCAACATTATTGTCATGTTATGTGTCCACTCCGTTCAATCCTGTGCAGGTGTTTCAATATCATGGATGGAATCCAGACCAGCTCCTTTGGACTCGGTACTTTTTTCTCCCCTACACCTTTTTTGAATTCATCCCATTTTCTAGGGAAGTATGCACAGTTAGGCAAAAGGTTTGAATTTTAAGCAGTGTAGGAACTTTGTACTACAGTGGTTAGACACTAGATAGCAGACCTAAAGTCCTGGGTTTGCAGTAAATCGTAGAGATAAAAATCCACGCATCCAGCAGTGGGTTTCGATCGCGGTATTTTGGAATTACGAGTCGTACTCGCAACGCCTAAGCCATGGACGCCGCCTAAATCGTAGAGATGGCCAACATAATAATCATCACATCATCCATATAGTGCTGTACAGATATGAAGTTAGCACCATGTGATAGTAAAAATTGGGTGTTTACCTATTTTTACCTATTTTTATCTCACATTTATGTTACTGATATTTAAGCAATAGGTTTCACAGACAGTTTCATTCATCTTAAAAATGCTGTCATACTGTTATACCTTAAATAGGGCTCACGGTATAGTCCTATTTCCGCACAGGTTAAGAGAGCCGGACCAGACCAGGACCCAGAACCCCAAATACCACACTAAACTTAGGAAGACAAAGAACAGGAATATCAGGTGTGACTTTCCACCACAAAGAACAGGACACCAATTAAGATAGCCAAGGCACCTTCCTTCATATAGCAGCTGAAAAAGGATCAAGTTTGGAGTTTTTGTTTATCAATTGGAATTGGAATCCTATTTCCATTCTGTCCTGTGCAGCCTTTCAGTATCATAGGTGAAATCCAGTTCACACCTTTGGCCTCTCTCAACAACATTCTTGTCTTAGGGTTTCTCTTCAATGCCCTTGTTTCCTCGATCCATTTCTTCTTTAACTTTAGTGCCTGTTTAGTCATTCTCAATATATTACCATCTTTTTATTTTATTTTTACTGTTGATTCAAGACAGTTCCATTAACCTTCCAATATTGTATATATCATTATACTTGTATATACACGTGCAGGTCTTGCTAGTCACACTCGCCATCACTATGGGCTGTGAGTCCCAGGCCTCATCATAGCGCAATATAACACTATCGTTTGGAAAGACGGAAAGGTGCCAATCAATCAATCAATCAATCATTATACTTGAAGTGCTGCATAATTTAAAAACAGTTTGGTTTATGAATTAAATTTTGTTTTCTTATTACTGGCACACAGTCCCATGACTCCAGGCATGATAGATCAACAAACGAGGCAACTGTTGGAAGTCAGGTTCTTGAACAAATAGGTAATTATAATGTGTAGATCTGTGTTTGTTCTGTGGACAGATGTTCATCATGGTTACTGGAAAATAAATATCAGATATCGTCTTTCCTATTCCCAAATGGGTTCGGGGAGGGGGGCAGTAGACTCACTGTTCCCTAAAAAAGCATGTCTTAAGTGGCAACTAATTATGGGCATTTCCTTCGAAGTCACAGTGCATTTGCCTGAGAGGTGAGGAACCAACAGTCTGCATACAAATAATCTGGATGTGTAAAATGAGTCATATTTTGATAGACCTATCGGCACACTGTGATTGATGGGGGTCAGTACCATGCTGGCCACCTTTACTTCCCAGGACATTCCTGGTACTTATTTTAAGCAGCTAATCTCGAAGCCTCAGGACAATTATTAAAAAGTTCTTCAATTAGATGCTTCATCCTGTGTTCGGTTCCGCATTAAGGCAGATTTTGAGGGATGCCATAACAACCTAGCCTAAAATTGATACCAGGAAATGTTCAAGGAACTTAAGGTGGCCAGCATTCTGATTATACATCACCCATAGAGTGCTGATCAGAATTTTTCATGGTAGTATGCAAAAGTATGCATTACTGGCACCTTTTTAAAGGCATCATTTCATCAGTACTGCTGTAATGGACGCTTTTTGCTGAGTACCAACACCTTTTTCTGACACTTTATGGTGAGTAACAGGTCTTAGTTTTCTAGAAAAAAGAAAAACCTAGTGTTTATACACACACACGCACGCACAGATGCACACACTCACACATATGCGACTAATACATAAATGGTATAATATAGGTCCTACTACTAACAAAATTATATTTTTCCATGCAGAGTCCCTGATTGTGGATCTTCCCCCAGCACCAGATCCACCATCGGCATCGTCGTTCAAAGTATCTCACAAGGAAGGGGAGACAGATTTGCGGGCAGCAAAATCAGCCGTACCACCTACAGGGACCCTTGAGCCGGTGTATGAGGAATGGTACCACGGGGATCTGCCACGCAAACAGGTAAGTAGTTGTTGTTTTTCCTGTCTAGTGAATAGTAAAACAGCTACTGACATTACAGCCTGTTTTTAACACTTCTGTGGTGGGGGGTGGGTCTTTGAGTCTGAGGATTTAGGGCAGCATGGCTAGTGCTGTGACCATGGCTGTGGCAGTTAGGATTTTTTTATTGCCAACACAGTAGAACAAATCTACAATCTTACAGAGGAATCGAACGTAGTGCATAGTATTGAAAGTTAAGTATGGTCGGGGAGACCATCTGAGGCATGCATAAGTAAACCATTTACCTTGTGGGTTCCAGGGCCCATTCTTTTTTGGGGGGGAGGGGGGGGGGTGGAATAACCCCACTGCACTCCCCCAAGCCCACCCCAAAAAAGCATGTTGTAAAAGTATCACACTGTGCTAACCACTCTTTTATGGATGAATACAGAAAAGGCAGAAAAAGCGAACCATTTGGTATTGATTAACTGTTTCATTAGCAAGCAGCTCACCATGTCTTTGTTGGCTTCTGCTTACTTTTCTCACCTCTTTTTGCCCCATCCGAGTTGTATTAAACTATTTTGCCTTAGTTGTTACTTCCACACTTTTGATCTCAAGTGCTGTAATTTTAACTGCATCAGACCTGAACATTTTTATTATTAATCTTATTTTTCTCTTTGTTCAGCGGCTGTAAACTCTGGCGGAGAGTTCTAGTTGTTTATCCACTTCTAGACTTAAAGTCTTATTCCAGAAGCTAAGTTTTTGCCTGCACATCTGTTTTGCAAATCTAGCTCATTTGTATGTGAACTGTTGGTTCCTCGTTTCTCAGGTATATGCACTTCAACTTTTGAAGGAAATGTACCTCATTAGTCGTCCTTACAACATGCCTGTTATGGGGCTGTGGATCTGTTCTTTTTTCCTCACAATGGAACCCTGGAACTCAGGTTGGGAAGTTAAAGTAATAGCTTCTAAGATTATGAAGAGTAAAACTAAGATCGTCCATTTATATTAACCTATTCTGCCTCAATTGTTGCTTCAACTTTTATATCTCAGGTGGTATCTTTTTTGTTCATTGGCAGTGAACTCCAGCAGAAAGTCTTGACTGTTTGTCCATTTGGATTTTGGCTTTGTGCCTGGGCCTGAGGTTTTGCATGTACATCCTTTTTACTGGCTTATTTGTTTGCAGTTGTTTGACCTTGCCACTCAGGCAGATGCAGTCCGAGTTCGAAGAAAGCCCACAATTAGTCAACTCGTGTGGCGCGGTGATTTATGTCACAGGCGTGAGGGGAAGTTAAGTCCAACATGATGTGTATAAGGAGATACTCGTACGTCACTCGGGCGCCAGTCCTTAACTATCCTGGTTGTACAGAACCTCACGCAAGACCCCTACAGCACGTCCTCGTCGTGCGCCACGGATAATGTCTCAAATGAGCATTAACAGAGCTGTCAGGGGATCTCGGAGTTCGGCGGCCTTCAGAGGTGATGTGTCCTTGTGGCTCTCATCAGCCCGCCCCCAAACGCTTGGGTGAAAAATGTTATCAAAACTCATTAGTAACATGAGTAGGTTTGCCAAAAGTACAGCCAAAATTACAACCCTTGGTTAAAAGACTGCGGAGTAAAGAGAACATTGTTCACTGCACATCCTCTGTTAACCCTCAGTGTCGTCGTCACCGCACTGAGGTACACCACAACAGCAACCATCCATAGGCTGGCCATCCTTGTACATCCTCGGTTAACCCTCAGTGTCGTCGTCGCCGCGCTGAGGTACACCACAACAGCAACCATCCATAGGCTGGCCATTCATGTACATCCTCGGTTAACCCTCAGTGTCGTCGTCACCGCGCTGAGGTACACCACAACAGCAACCATCCATCGGATGGCTAAGCCTAAATGTCCAACAAAACTAGATCATACGGATCAAAATCTGACCATCAAAATTTGTATTGAACGGAAAAAGACCGAATGTCCACACCCAAAGACCCCACTCGCCCGAGTGTTGGGACAAAACTGATAACGATATGCCCGATGCAGGATGCAAAATTCCGTCGGGCTAACGGCTCGTCAAAGAAATCTAACGTGCGAGGAAAAAAAAAAAAAATGTACCTATCTGTGTGGTCACAAAAGTCCAAAACCCACGGGCTGCTCCCCGCTGACTTCCAGAGGGCGCAGCCCCTGTCGAGCGGGAGGCCTGATACGGTTGTGAGGTTAAGCAGGCATGTGCAGGACGTGACGATTCCTTGGGTGAGCCCAGAACCAGAGCGCCATGTGCCGGCTCTGCATGCATGGAAGCCTCCTTGGATGGCGGGGAATGCCCATGATCTGCCCCTGCCTTCCCTTGAGGGCTAACTGTTCCACAGGGGGCTGCCCCAAAGGGGTACTCCGGGGGCAATACCTGCGGCGAAGGAGACAAAGTGGACACCACACAAATCAGGCAACGTCTCGACCCACACAAAACAACGGCCACAGTCACCCTAGAAATAGGCCTGACGTCTTCCTTCGAAGTCGGAGTACAGCTGCCCATGAGGCAGGGAAATGAAAAACGGTTGTACACGCAAAAATCAGGTCCAGGTGAAAGCCAAAAGTCCAAGCGGACGATTAACCGGGACCTTCCACTGGAATTCACAGCCGGTGATCGATTTGAAAAAAAAAAAAAAAAAAAGTCAACTCGTACATGCTTGTTGGGGAGTCAGTGGGTCTGTTCTTGTTTTTCCCACAATGAGGCCCCGAAACCTACACAGGGAACAAAGTGCTATTATAACATCATCAATTTCCATTTCTGCTGTTAAGCGTTGTGGGAAAGAACAGTTTGCGATCTATTGCTTGATGGACAGAAGTAGCTATTTCATTGTGTGTCGATGTAGAAGCTCTTTAATGTCATCAATCGATGTTCTCCTATGGCGGCCTCTTGCCTTCACTTCAGATCTTTTCATGTGTATTGCCTGTGTGGTAGTTGTTCTGGCTGCATTCTTACTGAATGACCAAACTATTTGATTTTCTATTTCTCAGTTAATTTGCTGCATAGTGTTGTTCCTACAGTCTGTCTGATAATATCATTTCTAACTTTGTCTTTGATAGTTAAGTTAGCGGTTTTTCTCAGGCATCTCATTTCACAGGTGTTCATTTTACGTAGATTATCCTTTGATAATGTCCAAGTCTGGCATTGGTAGCACAGTGTTGGTATGAATATGCTGTTTATAATCTGTTTCTTGACGCTCATAATTATGTTCGGATGTTTTAATAATGATGTCAGTTGGTATATAAGTGCACTGGCTCGTTGGCATCTTGTTTCTATTTCCCGATCTATTCTTCCGTCCTCCGAGCATATACTCCCTAAATATTTAAATTCTTTAACTTGCTTCAGACAAGTACCATTTAACCCGATATGTAGCGGTCTTGGAATTCTGCTGACCTGCATTACATCAGTTTAAGTAGTATTTATTTATTTGTTATATCTTCTGCATTTAACTCATCATGTCTTAGGATATGATGAGTTAAAATAATATTTGTCCAGGACTGAAATAGCTAAACACAGATTTTCATTGATTAGCTCTTGCACCAACGACTGTTTCACCAGCTATCCACTCCTAGCACCTCGGTTTTATTGATTACTCCGCTTATTCGGTATGGTATTTGTTGGTTTCTTTGTGCTCAAATCTGTTTTCTGCAATTTTCCTGTGTGACATGTGCATTTTTTTTTTAAAGGATTTTTTGGGGAAATTCCAATTATGGAAAATACTGAAATTTGGCAGTTTTTCTTGGACAGTGGCAGGAAAATGTTAAGGACAAATTCAGAAAAAGAAGATTTGCACTTCTATTTCATAATTTTATTTTGTATTTATCCAAAAGTTAACAGAGTTATCAAGCAAATTGCATTGTTTATCACACATTGTTGCACCCATACATATTTAACAGGCTGAATCACTACTTGAATTCGATGGGGACTTTCTAGTCAGAAAAAGCAGCAACAGTCCAGGCCAGTTTGTACTTAGTGGGAAGCAAGCAGGAGCACCACGGCATTTATTACTTGTGGACCCTGAGGGCATTGTAAGTGTTTGAACTTTTCTAGCATATCACTTCATCTGCAGCTTCTCATTTTAAAGTTTAACATTCTGTCATTCATTTTTGCCTGTGTACATTTATGATTTGCTTCCTTATTAACTTTTTTCTCCTCATGTATTTATTATTTAGTTCTTTTAATTTCACTCCAGTTTCCTCACAGCTGATAAAACATGTGTTCTATATTTGTATAATATTAGTTTCTTTTATTGTTACTCTCTTTTCGTCAGTACTAACGAAACCTGTACTCCACAGCTAGGCATAAGTTTTACTAGAATAAAACTCTAAACCAGGTAGGGCTTTTCTCTTTCTAGAAACAAAGTACTCACCACAAAGTATTTAAAAAAAAAAAAGAAGTGCCTGTACTCACCGCAAAGTGTCTACTTCATTAGCGCAGAGGCAAAATAATATTTATAGAAAAAGATGCTAACTGTGTACTGCCAGAAAGAAAGCTCAGTACTGGGAAGTAAAAGTGGCTGCTCTGATCTTGGCCATATTGTTGAGTGCAGATTGGTATATAAAAATGGGGTTCTAGAATCAACTGTCAGTTGTGTCACTGGCATAAAAAGTCCTTTAATTTTTCTTCAAACTTTTGACACATGTTTTCTACAGGTGCAGCTTGGGAGTTGACCCAGCCTAATAAGTTAGGCACCAGACAATTTTTAGAATGTTCGGGGAATTGTCTGCAAAGGAAAAGTTATGAGGAAAGGGACTGACCATCCCACTTCATGTGTTATGACCTAAAATATGTAAAGGCCTAAAACCTCACATCCCAATGGTAGTATCTGCTGGGATAGTACCTTTATAAAACTCTAGACTGTAGGTAAGGTGACTCAGCAGAAACCTCTGGCAAAGAGATGCAGGCAATGCTGAATCCATTAACACGATTACACATTCCGGTCATCATGGAGACTTGCCAAGGGAGCTTCTTCTTCTTCTGCATTCACCCTTAAAAGGGCTGTTGGCACATTGTTTTGTGTTTTGCAGTTCATCTACGATATCTGCACCTTTTGGCCCAGCACCTTCACTTTGAGCAGACTCTTTCTATGACAAATGAGGGGAGGGGTCTGTTCTGTTCCCTCAAAATAGGACCACGTAAGCTACATGCAGAGCACACCCTAGCATAAAAAGTAAATACCAACCAACAGTTAAATGTTTCCAGGTTCAAGATCATCAAAAGTGCAAATGGCTGCTGGGGTAGCAGTCGAAGAAATTCATGATGATGTTGAATATGAATTCCTTGATTTTTTTCCTTTTTTAAACGAATTTCATACTAAACCTGTATATTGTGAAACCCCCATCCTAATAATAATCTCTGTCTTAAGGATCCTTTTCATGGCAGTCGGGCATCAGGTATACAGTGCTGCTAGAGCCATATTTTATTAAAGCAGTATACACTTAATAGGTGATGTGGTTCATATCGTCTTGATCACCTTTACTTCTCAGAACATTTCCTGGTACCCAGTTTAAACAGAGTCGACCTGGGAATCCAGGACACATGAAGATTCAACCCCAAGACCATCATGTTTGTAGGGTAGGGTCAAGCTAGTTTGCCACTATGGTAAATATCTTTCAGATCTCATTACTGACAGGCTTCGCCACACAGGAATCTGGTTTTTCTTGAGCAAGATTTTCTTTCATTTACCATTTTCGTGGGCTAATTCTGTGGCCAACTCTCCTCACTCTTCATTTAAAAGAGGTGGTTGGTCATGATTGTATCTATAACATGAGTATGTTTTACCAGAAAGATGCTAACACGAAACCCATTATTTCTTTCCTGCCATGACACATGCACTCAGAGTTTCTAGGGTTCAGACTTGTTATGGATATTTCCATAGCAAACTTGTTCTTGTTTCAGTCATTTATATAGTCAAACTATGATGAGGGATAGCTCTAATGTGTACCTCATGCAAAGGGTACAACAATAGCAAAGTCAATTGGAATAAATAGAATAAATATTAGTGAAAAGGTGATTTCCTTCAGTGTCAACTATTTCTAGTGCTTTTCCCCTTATTATTTAGGAACATAGCTACAAAATTACAGGCAAATTGAATGTTACATAAACTTAGTTTTTGGGTGAAGTTACTAATTATTTTGTGAAGTCAGTTCTCTTTACCAAATAATGGTGCTCTGTTTTAATGCTTCAAAAAATTCTTTGAAACAAGATCTAATCTACAGAGTTTATATTTTACTTATCCATTACTAAGCAGTTCTTGTTCATTTGTGATTCATTTTGAATATGTTCATGAGTTTCCTTGAGCGCCATGGTGGTAAATGGGCAAATTATTATTTTATTTTACTGAATTATGTAAACACACCATCTGTTTATTTACTAATATTTAACTACTAACAATTATTTATTGTAGTGGCATTATATTATTATTCCCCAACAACCCTTGGTCACTTTGATGTATAATATGTGTATGTTGCATGGCAGTTGGATTCGTGTAGTATGTTTTAATGTATTTCACTTGAGAAATTAAAAAATTGCATTACCACCCCTTGGGCCTCTGATGCTAAACCCCCTGGGACTCAGAGTTAATATCTATGAAGTAAATTTTTGTTCTTTGTATTTCTGTTACAGGTAAGGACACGAGACTTCATTTTTGACAGCGTAAGTCATTTGGTTAACTACCACCGGCAGAATAATCTTCCAATTATTACACAGGGTAGTGAACTGCAACTTGTGAGACCAATAAAGAAATGTACACCTGTGACATGAACAGTCTGACAGACAACAACAGGCAAATTGTTATGTTTACTTGACTCTTTTAGTACCAGGGAAATCACAGTAGGTTAATTGTTTCCTCTGAATAAAGTTACATTTCTATATCTTTATGTCCCATTCTCCTGTTTTCTGAAACCCATTCCTTCTCCTTTGTTATGTCTTTCTCTAGCATATCCTGACCCGTTCAGAAATGTAGGTTACGCCAAGCTTGTGTATCTGTTACCATTGCCCTAATTATAACTTCTTTGGAGGCTGAACGAGTGACTTGGATTTTCTCTGATGGTTTGCCTCCCTGGAAAAAAACTCTGCAGGTTACAAAAAGCTTGTGTATCTGTTATGGATGCTTTATTCATTACTTTTTTTGAGGTTCTTCTTCTTCTTCTTCTTCTTCTTCTTCTTCTTTGTGTTCACCAGCTGTAAACTGGCGAAAAGTTCTGGTTGTTTGTCCACTTCTGGACTTTAATGTTGTTCCAGTACTTTTAGTTTTATATGCAACCTGTTTTATAGATATGGCTTTTTTTAATGCTGACTGTTGGTTCCTTGGCTCGTAGGCAGATACATTTCAACTTCAAAGGACATCCCTAATTAGTCAACATGCTTGTTAGGGAGGCAGTGGGTCTAGTCTATTCCCCCTACCCACCCACCCAGTGTTTGCCCCCACCCCCGGAATCCACACAGGAACCTTTAAGGTGCAACGGGGTATCTGCAATTTTCTTTGTTGATTTTCCACCCAGGAAGCTAACCAGAGGGGGGAAAACAAACTCCCTTTTCTCCCAAAGTTGTATTTTTAATTTCTATAAGACTAAAAAATGGTTACTCTATCGTTTGAAAAACTAAAGAAATAGACCTGGGGCTGAGAGAGTTAAGACGATGTATGTAGTTGACATGTATATTATACATTTGTTTCTGTGGCGCATTTATTTTCATGTGCATTATTGAAAAATGGTGTAATATTGTTTATTTAATTTGATGCTTGTTGCATAGACCACAAATGTTTTAGCACTGCCAGCCATTGCATGCTTTACGTGTCAGTAAGCTAGCATTGTTGTAACTAACTAGTCTTGTTTTTGTATTGTCAGCATATATTGAAAGTATTAATCATCATCATCATCATTTATTAGACCTAGATCTGGTTTTGTAACTTTGACAAGTGGTATCTTGTGTTGTTCCCTTCAGCGGTTCATGTCTTCAGTAACATTTCTCTACACAGATAAAGTCAAGAACCCTTTTCCATGCCTTCAGGCTTACTGGGCACTTAGACCTCTATTTTATAGACAAATCTGCACTTGATGACTGTTGAAAATATCCCTTGATAACCTTTTTGTTTTTCTCTTGCTTAACGTTTTACTTTTTAGAATTCTCTTGATGTGCCTGTCATGGCACATGCTATGTAGCTAACAACAGAAGCCTTCTTTTCTGTAATGCTGTAAACAGTTTTCTGGGTTTGTCGATTTCTTTCAGACAAGATGTTTCTTTTCCTTCAACAGCAGCTCCACATCTTGAATGATGCTGCAGATGTTTCTTTTAATTTTTTTCTTCTCAGTTTCTTAGAGCACTTTTATGTCAGAATTTTCTGCTTCCCTTCATGGCTTTTTTTTTCTTTAACTCTGTGCACTGAGAAGACTAACTCTGCTCACTGCTGGTTGTGACACGGTTCCATAAATGCCAATATAATGGCCTGTCTGCAGCGATCTGTTCTCAAAATGTGTAGTCAAATTCCCTGAGTTCTTTGTGCACCTGCGCTGTGTTTAATAGGCCAGGATATGAAACGTAGCATTTATCGGGGTTTCCTTATGACCCCTATGGCCTTTTAAAGACGTTAATGTCAAGTTATTCCTTGAACCTCCTAGAAACGAGGTCATGGGGTCACAACATGAGTTCCCCAATACATATTGTTTTTTAAGACCCTGGCACTGTATTCCATTTAATACTACACTCTGTTCATGTTATTAATTGTCCCTTTTAAATATCCTTATTTATTCCCAAAAAATTTAAAATAAACATCAATAAATTTTTCAACATTTTATTAGTGATCTGTATGAAATAGTATTTTTTAAAGGATATTTCCCGGGAATTCCCATTGTTTCATGACTATTTTTTTTTTATTTGCAGAGAGAAAGCGTGAAATTCTAAGGTTTTTTTTAAAAACGTTCTCACATTTGCATCTACTGATAATTTAGGTCTGTTGGGGAAAATTTTTAAACATGTTTGAAACTTTGTTTCTTTGTGATTGTTGTAAATGGTCTTGTAAATTGTTACAAAATCTACTTATGGGGTCTAATCTTCCACAATAGCCAAACATCTACTCATGGGGCCAAACCTTCAACACTAGCCAATCCTCCACTCCCCTGCTCATAGGGTCCAATCTTCAACAATTGCCCATCATATGGAGTCCAGTTTTACCCCATGTTTTCTTAATGGTAAATTGGATGCCGCTGCATATAAAACTAGCCAGAAAAAGAAGTCTCACATGTGCCACAGAGTTAGTGCACTGAGCTGAGAATCTCCTGGTGTGAGATGAAAGAGGTGTTCGGAGCACTGGTAGATAGTTTCACAGTGTGATGATGATAATCCTCAGAATGTGATTAGTTGTTTTGCTTTTTGTTCAGCCATGGAGCTGCAGTGATGTAGCAGCTAGATGCTTGCCTGTGGATCCGAATGTCATGGGTTCAAGTCCAAATGAAGCCAGACTTTTTTTTTTAAATGACCTTGGTTCCCAGGTTGACCTAGCCCTAAATAGGTGCCAGGTGAAGTCCTGGGAAGTAAAGGTAGCTGGCATGATATTGACCACATAACTCACAGAGGGCCGATTGGTCTATAAAATATTGATTTAACCCTGAATGCTCAGGCATGGAAAGGGGTTCTTTTACTTTTTGTTTAGCAGGTACATTTATCTTCCCTATTGATCATGATGAGTCTTCATTATGAGTGAAGACAAATTATCCGCTCCTTTTCCTTGCAGACTTTATTTTTCTTCTTTTTAATCCCCCCCCTCTCCTTCCCACCTCCCCACACATCCTTTGGAGCATAGCCTCTAAGCCAGATTATTTATTTCTTATAACAAACGCCAGGAAGTCTTGACCATGGAAGTAAGCACAGGGACTTTGTTGGAGAACAGAAACTGTAAAGATCAGACATGCTTCCTTCCCTTTTTTTTTTAAATACCAGATTCTCTACCGCTGTATATTTTTTCCGCCCCCATTTCCCTCTCCTCTCCCCAGTGGAGCATTCAAGCAAGACGCTCTGTCCTTTGATTTAACATGCAGCTTAACCCACGTTCTCCCCATTTTTTTTTCACTTCACTTTCTATTCCACTCTTGTGTTTTTATTGTGCTGTTAAATTATTTTCGTATAATATTCTGTTTACAATTTTTATTCAGCTGCAAATTATCAGCATATATGACCATTATATTGATCTTGAAATAGGCACAATGCTTTTGATTAAAATAATTAACTGAACAAAATATATGTACAAATTTTATTTGAAGAATTCTGTGTTACAATAAGAGTTTTTGCATTAAACATTTTGTGTGAAATTTCTGTGTTTATTTTGTTGGTTTTGTAGAAATAAATCTTATTATTCTTAGCATTCACTAGCTGTAAAACTCTAGTGGAAAATCCAGGTTGTTTGTCCACTTCTGGACTTTGGTCTTGTTCAAGAATTTGAGTGTTGCACGCACATCCATTTTACAGATCTGGCTTATTTGTGCGCCATGTGTTGGTCCTTTGCTTCTCACTCAGATGCTGTTGACTTTAGAGACATCAGTCCAGTTTGTGCTGGCCAGGGCCCTGGTAGGGGCCTTGGATTACCAGGGTGAGGTGTAGGCAGGTCTTGACCAGTGTAACTCATTAAACAAACTATGCGAACCTGTGTTAACAGGAAGAGAATGCAGTAACATACTGTGAGAAGAAAGGGTCATTCTGTCAGAACAAACTTAACAAACATATGCACCGGCTTTATCTAAGTCAGTGATTCTCAACCTTCTTAATGCTGTGACCCTTTAAAACAGTTCCTCATGTTGTGGTGACCCCCAGCCATCAAATTATTTTTGTTGCTACTTTGTAACTTCAGTGAATGTGTGTTTTCCCGATGGTCTTGGTGACCCCTGCGAAAGGATTGTTCGATCCCCAAAACGGTTGCAACCCACAAGTTGAGAACTGCTAAACTAAGTAGTTTACCATTGTTCCCTTGTGAGCTGTGTGTGCAGACTACAGAACATGTCCTGCAAGAATGTTACGTTTACTGCCCATTAAGGAGGGAATACTGGCCCACTGAGTCAACACTATACTCAGTTGTATGGAACTAAAAGGGAACTCTTAAAGACGGTCAAGTTTATCACAAGAACTTGCCTGTTGGTGTAAATCAGACAGCAAACATAAGAAGAAGAAGAACGTGGATTTTACTAGAAAAATTTCTGTCAGGGTGTGCTTTAGTTTTCAAAATGGATTTTCTCTCCAGGAGCACTATATATCCCTCAGCTGTCGATTTACTGAGGTTTTTGAGGTTCTCTCCAAGAACTACACTGGTGTGCTATATCTTTATGTCCCATCCTTGTGTTATGTTATAAAACTTACTCCCATTCAATGCAATTACCTTGGACATTTTTACTTTTTTAGTAAGCAAAGTAAAGCAATAATTAGTTCATTAGTGGAAAATAGCTTACGGTCGATTTATGTTTGGGCTGGCTAAATGTATTAATTTTGTGTGTGTATGGTCAAATTGCGGACAAATTCAATTGACAACAAATTGTAGCTCTGCAGGCTCAACTACCACATGCATAAAATGAAGATTGTACAGTCTCCCCAGTGTGCCTGTCAAACAGGATCACAAACAACTGTGCACATTCTGCAGACCTGCCTACTCTACCTACAACTTCGAAAAAAAAACTGGCCTCAAGAGCAAAGTGTGCAGAGCAAGCTATGGGGTAACCATGAAGGACCTGCTGCTGACATGCAAGTTCATAGAGGCAACCCACCTGATGGTCTGATCTGAG